GTTTTACATGTTTTTACAGTACACATGCATTGGGTCTGTTTTCATTAAGGCCAAGCTCTGTGAGTTTTTGATTTTTATTTCACGGTCAGCGTTCTTCACGGACTGATAACGTTGGACTGAAAGTGTTTCTCTTCATTACATGACATTGTGCAATGTGTATGCATGTAAATTATTTCGGTGAACTATATGCTGCTCTCGAATCTGATAACCACAGACTGTTTTCCTCCACGAACGTTTCTGTTTGGCCGATTTATGTAATCTTTAATTGACAGAATCTGAGATCGAACTTGCTGCATAATGTTGCGATGCCGACATTACGCTCTAGGTTGTCAGCACATGTCATCAGTGTTGAGACTGTAAAGCAGAATCTTTTTAACGTCCTCTAGCATCGTCTGTGACCTGATCAGCAAGATGAGGGCCTCTGGATACAGGGGGAGAGACAGGCAGTGGCACTAGGACCTGGAGGAGCCGTTTACAGCTGTGGCAGCAGTGTCATTTCTGTCCGGGTCATCATTAGTATCCCTGTCACAGGGGCGTATGGCCCCGGAGGCCTCGGACACCAAACCTCTGCAGGACTGTAATTTCAACATTAAACACAGAAGAGATGAAGAGACTGTGATCAACACTGTGTCTGGAATCACTGTGTCAACAGAATGCAGCCATGCAGAGCTGTTGGTTTGAGATTAAAGAATATTCAGCATTAGGATGTAGACGACTTTTCTTTATCGCGTCCCCTAAAGAGATAAGACATGAAATATGAATTTGTCTGAGTCAGTTATCTGTGTTGTCAAACGCCTCCATCAGAGGAGCCAAGAAGGTTGGCTACAGTCTTCTGTTTGGGTTAAAATACATCCTCCCTGGCTCTCTCGGCTCTCACCCCTCAGGAGGGTGCATGTAAACACCATGACACATTTGTTATTATCAAATCCTTCCACTCTGTCCTCTGTGGACGTGAGAGGAATAAGAAGTGGTAGTAGGCTTTGACTGTTCCCGGAAAGGCTAATTTTTGGCTCTTGCTCAGCCAAATATAAAAAAACCTGATTTTTTTTTTGTCTAAATGACTTCACTTTGCTTAGGTTCAGCATGCAGAAAAAAATGTGTTATCACCCTCACAAAATCCTTCACACTGTACCTCCCTGTTCACAGCTATTGTTGTGCATTATCTTATACATGAACCAAGATGCTCTCATGTTCACAGCCTATTGTATTCTCATGTTTCTTCCATGTTACTGAGCAGAGGCAGCATATTATGCCGCTGATCATGGTCCACGTCTGGCTGTTGTGATGGAGGCCGGTGACGCCATCGATAGTGACTGTGAGGTGGTTGGCTGGAGGAAACAATTCACTGCATGTCGGAGGAGGAGTGTCACCTCAGAGCGTAGGGGGAATAAGAGAGGGAAGGAGAGGAGAAGATTTGAGGTCAGCTTAACGTGAAAGGAAAAATGCAGGAGAGGGGAAAACTGCACTGGAGGAGGGATGAGCGATTCAATTGCCGTGCAGTGGAGGTGTGTTTGATGGAACAACAGAGTCTGGGAGAAGATGGGGAGAGAGAGAGGATTATAGAAATGGGACGATGTGAGAGAGAGACAGAGGAGACGGATTAAAGCTTGGAAAAATAGATAGTGCCAGAGGGAAGTGTGAGAGGATCAATTTAGCGACGTTCTGCGGAGAGACAGTGTCTGAATGGACTGTTTCGCTCAGCTCCCTCTCAGCTCATTTTGCAACAACACAATCCCATGTGTGGTCGAACCCAGTCCACTCACACACATACACACACACACATATAACACTAAATGCTATATATATATAGACCACAGGAACACATAATGCCCAGCCAGGGTATTGGTGGGCTGAAACACGAGTATGTTTCTTGACACGGTGGCAGCTATCGTCTCCGCATGAACGTCATGGCCTCTGTCTCTTCAAGGTCATGTGGAATAATTGTGAGAGAGCTCTGTTGTTTCTGTGTCCCTAACGTGTTAACCCTGTCTCCTCACCCACTAAATATATGTCCATATTGTACATGACATGATTTCAGCTACAGAATATGATAAAGATTGGTTAAGGATATGACTGTGCACAAGGTTAGTTTAACTCTCACTCAAACAAAATATAAGACATTGACATTTATGGTCGTCGCCCACATATTAGACATCGTCCGCCACTGACTGACTAAATCGATGGGTCAGGCTGCCACAGTTTTGTGCCAAAAAATGTGCTCCTTGGATCAGACAATTCCACAAGCAACATAGATCCTGATATGTGGCAGTTTGTTCATTTTGGAGATTTAGCATTTGAGAAATCTTCATTTGTTACCAACTGCAGCCGCATAGAGTCCGATCGAGTCCTGTCTGTGGACTTGTCAATGCAATGACATCAAGTCTGTAGTTGAGATTAGCTACATATTAGAGCCCAACAAATACTGATTTGGGGGATTTATGTTGATACTGATATCAGGGAGTAGGAAATGTCAAATTCCGATATATGGCCCAACTGAGGATTGATATTTTACATTTTAACTAAGCACTTTGTCATAAATAACTATAAATAAAAAGAAAACACAAATAAAACAAAATACTCAGGACTTGAATTCAGAAAATAAACATAAATGCACATCTTTTCTGCATTGTTAAATCTCTAAGATAAAATTTGTCATATCAGCATAAACGTGACATAACAAACGCTGATACGGAGGTTTGTCAAAGGCTCATAGAAAAGTTTGAATCTACTTTTCATCCAGTCACTGAAGCAGTTGCCTCTGATGTAAAGCGCTTTACGCATTTTGCTTTTCAAAATCCTCAGCTTGATCTCTGTTGTGTTATCAGTCGGTCGTAGGGGAAAGGAAAGTTGATATTTATTCACACAGTAGTTAAATGGATATTGAATCAGTCGGTTAATATTCCTCCTCTATCCTCGCTGCTGTCGCTCTGATCTCTGCAGCTCCCTCTCTCTCTCTCTGTTGTTGTTTATTCTGTGTGTTGCTGCTCTGGACTGTGCAGTGGTTACTCATGTCAGTGTATGGCAGGTGCTCTGAGCTGATATGAACTGACTGAGCATCTCCCTGGTAACTGGAGGACGGCTCAGGCGGAACTAGAAGAGATGATCAACGTTGTCCAGGCCCCCCCCCCCACCACCAAAGCTCCATTTGAAAGCTGTATGAGTTGAGGACAGGCTCGTCCTCCTCTCTCAGTTGTTTGTATGTTGTGTCTTTTTTCCCCCAAACGTCTTCTCCTGTCAGTGCAAGCAGCTGCGCTCAAGGCCGAGAGAAGACAGGTTAATTGAATAGTCACGATGGTGGGAGCCTGACTCGCTGGGTTTTTCTGCTGGGTCGCTCGGATCTCACGACAGTCCGACACTCATCAGCTCTGTTGACTCGTCATTTTGTGACAGAGGCTGCATGTTTTGCAGTTTCAGTGGTAGAAATCCTCACTGTGCCTTTTTTAAACTTGTTTTCTTTAGAGACTGTGCTTTAGTTATAATTGTTAGATTAATCCTTACATGCTTCACTAGATGTTGTGCATGAGTTAAAGATCCTAAAAAACTAACAACCATTCCAACATTTCTTTTCCTTTTTCACAGAAATCTTTAAAAAATGGACCAAGATAATCAGAGCAAATGTCCGACTCAAGAAGAAAACACAACGGTGGGAGCAGAAGCTTCAACAGCTCTGGCATCAACTCCAGCTCCGGCATCGACTCCAGCTCCGGCATTGACTCCAGCGGCTCCACCCTCAGTTCTGCCTACAGGCCAGCCCCCGTCCGCTGCCCGCCCTCGACGGCCCCAGAGAAGTGCCAGAGTGGAGGGCTCTGTGGACATCTCCGACCCTAAAGCTGAGCCCAAAGCTGAACCCGCTCCGGAGGCTCAACTGGACGAGAGCACTCCTGACGGCACTGTGCCCAGTCGTCCCAAACCCTCCCGCTCTGCAGCAGTCAAACCTTTAGGAGAGCGCATTAAAGCTGGCCACAAGGGTCCAGGGCACCCCCCGGTCAGGGCTGTCTCAGTCCCCCACCCACCCGTGAGCAGGCCTGTGGCTCCTCACCTGAACCCTCATGCACAGAGAGCCTTCTCTGTCGCAGGTACAGCTGACACTCAGGCCCAGACTCTGGAAGACTTCAGGCAAGTGTCCTGATGTGTGTGTGTGACGTTCATGTCTCAGCATGTCTCATTGAGCCTCTGGTTTCCAAAGAGCTGAGAAAGATTAGCCCTGGCACATGAAGCCACTGAGTGCACGACTGCACGATTACTGCAAACATGTAGCACAGTTTTTTGAGTGTCAGGATTATTTATGTTGGGTCACACGTTATTATTTAGGGTTTATAACAGACTATATTATAGCAAATACAAGTGTACTTGGTAACAAGTGTAACTACTGACCCATAAGTGGTGGCTGCTGTGTAAACATACTAGAATGGCACAAAGTCCCCTTAGATTTAAACATGCTGCCCCAAATCTTACACACTAATAGATATCAGTTTTTTATTTTAGATCCAAGAATTCTACTCTTTGAAAATGTCAATGTTAAAGAGAGTGAAAAAAAAAATCCTGGTTCTCCCCTGATCTAGATCTGCACCAAAAGAAGATTAAAACACAGTTGTACAAATAGATAATGTATTCAAACAGACATCATAAATATTGACAAATACTCTACGTTAACAGACATTTAAAAGCCCTCACAGTTATTCACAGCTACATTATAGTGTGTTATAAATTATGTATGAAATGTTTGTATACTGCTTCTAACTTTCTAGAACTTTTTTGTTGTAGGTAATAAAATAGATTAAAGACAATTTACAGTTTACAACCTAAATATCACTCATGCTTCTCTAATTATAGTATCTACTGTGAGGTGGGTCTGTTGGATGTTCAAACAAGTCAATGTGAGCATAGTGTGCTCTCCATGTTTTAGACAACATTGTTGGAATTTGCTTCGGAGCTGAATATTTACACTAAAACTTCTGCCTTGGGGCCAAAGTAGCTGACCTAGCTGTCCTATATAATCCTGCATTATTACCAGGATTTGTGCAGTAAATGTTCATTTCCTTGGGTATTTTAGAAAATTAGTACAACAATACGATGGAAAATATAATTACAATGGCTTTTTAATTTGACACTGCAATTTGACACTGCATCTTCACATTTATATGGATGATTTAGTTTTTTTATCCGATCTCGTTGGATTAGGCACATTGCTGAGCTTCCAGGTTGTTTAATACACCTTATCATACCTTCGCCAAGGCCCAACAGTTCCCTTATGACACCACATTTTAATTCACAAGATCCAGATTGTTATTTGGATCTGCACCAAATGACACACACTCATAGATATCAGTCCCTTAACCATGTCTGCTTTTATTCATCATGATGTCATGAATTATTCCATCTCACAATGTTAAAGAAAGTGAAAAAATGTTTCCTGGATCTGCCTTCTCAAGACGTTTTTACGTAATCTTTCTTACAAACAAACACACCAACAAACAAACTGACAGGAGCTAAAACCTAATCTCTTCACTGAAAACATAGAGGTCATTACATGTGTGCACACAGTTCCCTATACTACCTTTGTTTTGTATCTGTCGTTTGATTGCTGTTATGTCAATATGTCGATAGTGGCAGCTGGACACTCAATTTACAAAGCAAATTAATACAAAATTTATACAGTTTATTATAATTCATCAGGATTTTCATCTCTCTGTATATTAATATGAGGCCTGTGCTGCCTCACTAAGAGTCTGGAGGTATTGACACTGAGGTGTGAAGGAGACATTATATAACACCTTGTTCCAACAGGGTGCACATCATCACTTGGAACGTGGGTTCGGCCACGCCACCTGATGACATCACTGCCTTGCTGGGTCTGAACGTGGGTGATGGAAACACAGACATGTATATTATCGGGTGAGTGTGTTTTTGCGGTGCGGTAATCATCCAGTCTCCACAGAAAGGCTGAAGTGTCCCTTTATGCTCTCTTCCCTCACATTAACGCTGAAGACAATATCACTAATGAGCCGTCTGTGCTCGGCTTTGAATTTTTCTCCTCCCTATGGCAGCGATTCTCCTCTTATTTATCAACCCACTATTACATTATCCGAGCTCCTCTTCACATCTGTGTGTGCTGTTGACCCTTGTGCTTGTTGTGTGTCATCTTTTTCTCTTCAAGGCTGCAGGAAGTGAACTCTATGATTAACAAAAGGCTGAAAGATGTCCTCTTCACAGACCAGTGGAGCGAGGTCTGCATGGAGAGACTCAGCCCCTTTGGATATGTGCTGGTCAGTAATGGCTCTTATTATAAACACATATGCACGCACTCAGTAAAATGCTAAAACAGCTCAGACTCGCTGATGAGCTTCTCTTCTTCCTGCCGCTGTTTCGGCTCATTTTGTTTCCTGAGCAACGGATGGGGTGATCATTTATAACAGGCGTGTAATGTCACTGTATCTGCTTTCCTCTGTTGCCAAGTTTATAATGCAAAGTCAGGCAAAGCACCCACTTTAATTACCCTCTCTGTGTGGCTTCACACCCTTTTCTCCATCTTTCATATTTCACAATGCCTACACATACCCAGTGTGGAAAGGTTGTATACAAAGATATCAGAGATATACAGATTCATTTAAATACATCTTATAAATATCCCTTCAAATAAGAAATTTGAATCATGCCATAGAAAATGTTTGTTTTCTTAATAACTGCGTGGTGTAAATGGTTGACGTTCATGTGGCTGCATGTGAAAACGAAGCTTGGCTCGGTTGGCATGGTGAGCCAGAGAGCATGAATCAGCTGTCGGGCTGAGAGAGCTAGACAAATGTCTCCCAGGGTGCTGTTTTATTTTTGGATCACGTTGTTGTCAGTGTTGATGGGCCTCTGACAGTGAGACTGATGCAATCCCCCAGCTATCTCGCGGCCTGCTAGGCTAGCTTAAGTCTCGTTCTAATCATCTCTATGTGACCTTTTAGTGGACTTCATGTGGATATGGATGCGGTGAGCATGTTGGGGGGAAAGTGTTGGTCGGAGTAGGTGTCAAGCGCTCAAAGAGAAGGAGATAGACACTGGTGTCAGTGAGAATCTCAGCTGTCATTACATGGTGGACGGACACGTAGTTAAAAGACACGACGTGTGTTCTTTCCCGCTCGGAGATACTCGTCAGATTCATTCTGTAATCACCAAACACTTCCAAGCTAAAGTTGCACAGATTATTTTTATTGATACACATTTTCTCCTTGCCTTTGATAAAGGATGGTCCGATGGTACCTATGCCGAAGGAGATAAGTTAGGAAGCATTGAAGCTCCTTTCCTAATCCTTTAGAGAATTCAAACAGCTCTTATAATGGCAGCCACTGAAATACTTCCAGGTCATTTCATTCAGTTCGAAAGGTTCCTAAGCAAAATGGACTATTTGAACGCACCCCCGGTCTTTTATTATTGTTTTGATTGAGAGATCCTGAGTGGGCAGAGTTACATAATGTTCGTTTAAATACATACTGTATGTCAATAAATCAATTTATCCAGAAAATGATGTCCCACATACATGCTGTGTCATAAGTAGAAGAGGTTGTTGGGCTTTCTGTGTTTGTCAGTATCAGATACTAAAATAAATAAGCCAGGATTTTGCCCTGAACTCGTCTAAAATCCCTGGCTGCTTTAGTAACATCACACTTGTTACTCACAGCTTATTTCCTCAGTTGTGTGAACCACGAGGTCAAACATACACTGCTTCTCTCTCTCTCTCTCTCTCTCTCTCTCTCTCTCTCTCTCACACACACACTTGTCTAGGGCTTAACTGTCTTTCCTGTTCTCATCCTAAATGTATCTCGGCAGCCTTCAGGAGCTCTTCCCGTGTTCACTCATGTTGATAAGAAATGCTTTTCAACCACAGGACACACAGGCATAGGAGGTTAAGGTACATTCTCTCAGACTTCAGCCGAGCGCTCGCACAGAAACGAATTGCCTCCGCACACGTACCACAAATATAGTCGGTCCACTTCACGGTTCAGTGGAATGTATTACGCAACAAACTGGTTTAAACACCAATTTAGTATACAAGCAAGAGGGTCTAATGTCACGTGGAGACGTGTGCCTCCATTACTGCCCTCAGGACATTTCAGGCAGGGTGTTATCGTGCTTCTTCGGCCTGTGGTTGGGGGTTGGGATGTGTGGAGATAGGGAGGGATGAACATAAATATCTGGTGTGGGGCTTGATATGGCATGTAAATACCTCATCTTTCCCCACTCAACAAATGCACTTCACGTTCCTGCTCCTCTTGTGAAGTACAAAAATAGTCCACAGATGTCACAATCAGCTTGTTGTTATGTAGCATCACAAGAAGCATGATGGCGGAGGGCGCAGGGAGTGGAAAAGTCTGAGTGTGATGGTTCCCACTATAAAGCAGTTTGTTTCCACTGTGAGGGCAGACCACGAGCTTTGACCTCTATAATGTGCAGTGCTTCATGTAAAGTAGTGGCAGAGCTGAGCCACAGGGCTGAATGAAAATGTTACAAGGTAGAAAGATGAAGGGTGCAAGAGGAGGAAGTGAGGAAGTGAAGCAGCAAAGCCAGACTTTTTTGTTGATTAAAATTTCAGTGCCAGCTATAACATAAAGCTAATTTCTCATTTGTTTAAACCTATCTTGATCTTTCCTATCTTCTGTCTCCATTTCTGCTCACCCGTCTCAGGTGACCTCTCAGCGGATGCAGGGATTGCTACTGCTGGTCTTCACCAAGTATTTCCATCTGCCGTTCCTCCGCGGCGTCCAGACCGAGACCACCCGCACCGGCCTGGGGGGTTACTGGGTGAGATGGCTATGACACCCGCTCTGTGATCAGCACTGTGTTGTGGAAGCTTCGCTGTACATCTCTGTGGGAGTGACCAGGTGTACGGTTGCATGGCTTTCACAGACACCCTGACAGAGTTGTTACACAATGCTCAGTTTGTAAACAGGTGATGATGTGGCGGGTGTTGAATTTGCAAACTTTATTTTGGGAATCTAGTGCGTGTTATCAGCTCTTCTTATTCAAATGATGTTCCATCTGGTTTTATGATGAGATGGATTTTTGCATCTATCAGCGAGCGGTTAGTAATGCTTGGAAAGTCAAGCATTACAAAAGTGAACCAGGGGCAAACTGCAGACTGAGGGGAAATTCTCATATTCACTCATTTCTTTATGTTAGAAAGGGCTCAAATTGCAAGATGTTAAAAGGTCAGTATTCAAGAGAGAACCCTAACCCTAAGACGACAGAGGGGGGTTTCTGAAAAGTTCCATGTGGTTCCATGTTCTAAGTGAAATCCTGCTTTTATCCTCCCTGTAGAATATCGAGACATAAACACACATTCGTCATCATTTTCACTCCAGTGTCTCTTGGGTATTAGTGGGTCACAGCAGTCGTGAGAAGAGTGGGAAGAAATCCACAGACTCATCCTGTCCCCCCACTGTGCACTTTTAGCATTAAATATTGATGGTGCTTTTTTCAATGAGTAAACTTCCTGTCTGTGGCAGAAACACAGCACTCAACACAGTGAAACCTGACAAACCACTGACATGCTCCATCACAGACCATATTTTATTCATACCTTCATTTGTCCAGTTCTGCTTCAGAGAAAATGTCACCCTCGCTCTCATAATGTTTAACTTGGTTTTGGTGTGTGTCACAGGGGAATAAAGGTGGAGTGAGCGCCCGCATGTCAGTGTTCGGTCACACCGTCTGCTTCCTGAACTGCCACCTGCCAGCTCACATGGAAAACTCGGAGCAGCGCATGGAGGACTTTGAGAGCATCCTGCAGCAGCAGCAGTTTGAGGGCCAGGCCGCCACCGGGGTTCTCGACCATGAGTACGTCAGCAGTATAAACACATACACACATATAGTTAAATGTATCTGTTGGATAAGAAGAACAAGATGGATTTGTTCCACTCTATAGACTGTACACACAAATGAACCCAAAATGTCACATAACTAACCTGCAATCTTGCGTCAATGACGACTGTTGGAGTCTAAGCAGTAGTGATTGGGGAGGGAGTCGTGGTATTGAAGACGTTTCAAGAACTGCCCCAAAATAACAGAAACCATCTTTGAGAAAAAATCATTTCTCTTTTTAATTTGGTCCATGTCCCATCCACTAACACATAGAGGAGGTGAGGTTCATGACCTATACTGCAGTCAGCCACCAGGGTTGGATCAAGACGCTTTGGCTTCACTTTTGGGGAGCTGTCATGTCGTCCATCTATATAATACATCTGTGCTCTGAGAAGACTTGTCTCTTGTATTTATGGTTTCACAAGTAAATTCTGTCACAACCTGCATTGAAAAGTACTTAGAATTCATGCAGTTCCTTCTTTGTGTACAGTGTGGTGTTCTGGTTTGGAGATCTCAACTTCCGCATTGATGACCTGGAAATGCAAGTGGTGAAATCAGCCATTGACAACAACAAGTATTCCATGCTGTTGGAAAAGGACCAGGTAAAAATAGTGGTTGTGTATCAATATAGGAGGACTGTGAAAATGAATAGGACTCCTCTGCGTACTGTTACAAATCATCCCTCACCTCATCCATTTCCATAACATTAATCAAGTTCCTAATTTTATCAAAAACACTCAATGGTTTTGAAATCTTGTCATTTCTCTTGCTCAAAAAATCTGGATGTGTATGATAAAATGTAGTGGACAATGCACTGTGTCGGTGTGTGCACTAGAGGGCATAAGAGGAAACCCTATTACAAGAGCCATTAGTCATTTCCAAACCAAACTCCTCAGTGATGTGTGTTGATTGTTATCGTTTCAGCTGAACATGGCCAAAGACAGTGAGACGGTGTTGGAGGGTTTCCAGGAGGGGCCGCTAAAATTCCCTCCCACCTACAAGTTCGATGTTGGAACAAACACATACGACACAAGGTTTGTGTTGCCAGGGGTGATGTTGTGAATTCTAGCCCTGATTTCTCAGTGCTCAGTAAACTTGAATCTCTGAAAGGTCCTCACTTGCCCAGGGACACATGAAAGGTCCTCTTTTTTTGAGAGAGATGAAATGTTATTTAGGGGATTTCTCCTCTCTTGCTCCGTCTCTGTCTTTCTGTCCACATCCCAGCGGAAAGAAACGCAAGCCGGCTTGGACTGATCGGATTCTGTGGCGTCTGAGAGCTAACGCACCTGCCAGTGCTGCACCTGGCGAAGGGAAGCGCACTTCGATTTCAGGGCTGACCAGCGGGGCCAAAGTGACGCAGCACTGCTACCGAAGTCACATGGAATTCACCGTCAGCGACCACAAACCAGTCTGTTCCATTTTTACTCTGCAGGTGAGACACCAAAATACAACGTGAAGAGGACTGAGACCTATCAACCACAACGAGGGCCTTCATCTCTGTACTAATGTGATAATATCATATATAGTAAAGTTAATAAGGTAAAGTTCTTTGTCTGTAAAGTGAATCTAAACTTCTAGTTTTATGTATTGACTTTATTAAACATGTTACTGCACTCAGTAGAGTGCACATCTCCACCAAGGCCCAACAGTCCCCAGATTTTTATTTGGAAATGGAGCAAATTGGACACACTCATAAATATCAGCCTCCTAAACATGTCAGATTTTTTTCATTAAGAACTGCAAATTATTCTCAAAGAAACTCTTGAAAAACTGCCTCAAAATTCTCGCCATGGTAAAAAAAAGAGAAAATAAACCCCTGGATCCAGCCCCTGATTCAGATCTGCACCAAAATGTATTAGGTCCTTCCCAGACCTCTACTGCATCATTCCACCAAGTTTTGTAGTAAGTAGTGTTTGCATCATCCTGCTAATTTACAAACCGATTCCACCATACTTATGTGCCAACTTTCCATCCTTCAGTTCTGGTTTTGATAATCGACACTCTGCACACATTTTACTGAGGTCAAAGTTCGATACCAAGCCCTTGTCATTTTGGAAACCTTTGAAATATTTTTGAACTGTGTAAATGTTTATGACAAATGTTCTGTGCAGTTCCCTTACAAGGTGGATGTTCCCCTGGTCACGCTCATTGTGGAGGATGAGTGGAATTGCATTGCTGATGCGATAGTAAAATTCAAACTGACGCCCAACTTTGCACGCAGCTCCTGGGACTGGATCGGACTGTACAAGGTAATGTGTAAACCACGAGGAAATATTTCTGTACATTAACAACTTTTAATCAAGTAGTAACAGTTAAAAATGTTGCTGCTGCCTCCACAGGTGGGTTTCAAACACCACAAGGACTATGTGGGATATGTGTGGGCCAAGCAAGAGGAAGCTGATTTTCAACGACAAGAACATCAGGTAACCTGGATACGTGCTGAACTCTCCTCCGATGATTTCATTTCACATTTAATTAATGTCGGACAAACTGTTTTCCAGGTAACCTTTACCGAGGAGGAACTGCCCAAGGGCTCAGGGGACTTTATCATAGGTTACTATAGCAACAACACGAGTACCATTGTGGGCGTGACAGAGCCATTTCAGGTAATCATAACTGTGATGACATTAAAAGTGTGGAATGCTGTTATTTCAGATGTTCCCATCTGCATCCTCACGCTTTTCTATTTCCTTCTCCTGACATTTTGCTGCTCTACCTCCACATTCTATAATTTCTCTCCCACTCTTGTCCTCTTTTTTCATCTCTCCTCAGATCCAGCTTCCCACTTCAGGCCTTGATGCCAGCTCTTCAGACAGCTCTGACTTCAGCTCAGAAGACGACAGCACTGTCCTCCACATGAAGACGAGGTCCCGTAGTCCCAGTCCACGCAAGGGCAAACACCGCCGGCATCGCAGCGGCACCCACAGCGGTAACCGCAGCCGCTCTGGCAGTCCTGCACAGGTCAAAGTGAAAGAGCACAACATCCCCGATGGTCCTCAGTCCGGCACCACAGCTGAGAGTGAGTCCGCAGGGCGTCCAGCAGAGGGCAGCAGCAGCACGCCGTCCGTTCCTGCAGGGAAGGACCAAAACCCAGAGGATTCAGGAATGTGATGCACCAGGTCCTTCTGTTGTCACAGGTCACATAACCAACTGTTGTGTGTTTTATTTGATACATCCACTGCGTCGTATGTTTTCTGTTGTGAAAATATACAGTTTGTGATGCCATACTTTTCAGGAACAGCCCTCTGGCTTGTCCAGAAGGCCCACTTTGCCTTGAGTTGTTTTATTAAGCTGTGCACATATTATATGTATATTTTTTTAAACCTTTCACTTTGTTCTGTGTTTCTTGTATCTTTGTCCGTTCTCAGGTGTGGACAGTACAGGGAGCTGACACCTTGCTTTAGGAACTACTCAAGGAGTTATGGTTATGTAGAATATAAGGGTGGTCACTTCATACTCTTTAAAAACCATCTTCCCTATATTCCAACAGTGGTTTGAAATTCTGCACCTTTGCAGTCATGTCAGCAGACTGCAAACAAGCAAAAGAAGAAAAACATAATTGATGCAGAGAAAACTCACAGATCACTCAGTTTGTTTTAGTTGCAGAACAAATATTTTTAAGAAACAAATCTGCTCAAACCAAACAGGACCACAAAGAAAGAGTGAAAGATGCTTTTCATTCCCTCAGAAGCGTCACCAATCACTTGCATTGTAAGTTTGTATAAATCTGCAAATGGGCATCCAGATTGACTCTTGGGTATATTCACTATTTTGAAAACTTCGCATGATATAACATACAGGAAACATTACAAATGATCCACCAATCGGATCGAGGTCGCTCTGGTGTGTATCAAAACAGAGGAGAGCCAATGTAGGTGGAGAACAAGTCCAGGGGGCTCGGCCATCAGCCGCAGCAGCAGCAAATCACATGTCAGCAATGAGAGTGAGTGTGGGCGTGAAGACCTTTAAGTGGAAGTGATTGGTGTGACACTGACAGAGCGAAGCTGTCAGAATCGGTTGACATATTGTTGGCCACTAACTCTGCTGGGCCAGCCCCAGCAATATCTGATCCAACATGTATTGCTCTTACACAAATACCTTTTCTGGGAGTTAGTGGGCCTCATCCAAGGCAGGGAGGGGGTTAAGTTACTTTGTTTAGATGAGTTTACCCTCAACACCAAAATCATATTTATAGTTTTGATTCCATTTGTAGTATTTAATGATATTTTTGACTTTGTGTGTGATGATTTCAACATAAGTAAGACTTGATTTTCAATCTGGATGTCTTTGACAAATGTGAACATGGACTCTACTATGTAGAGCTACTACAGGGCTTTGTATTATACTGTGAGGAGTATAATACAAAACTGACATGTTCCACTATCATGAAGTAACACAATGGTAATTTGATATTTCAAAGATATGGAATAGTCCTTTAAGTCCTATAGTCTTATAAGTTTAACTTTTCACTTCACTGTGTTTGTTTTTTCTTCTTCTCTCTTGCTCAGATCCTTATGGATCCTGGTGATTAGCTGACAGCAACAACAGTCACAATAGTTATTTTGCTATGTTACCGTGTGACCTCTTATACACCATCGTAGACACTTCGTACGGTTGGGCTGTTAGCATTGGACAGTGTTTACTGTTGTAGCTGTAACCTCAGTGTGTGTCTGTAATCAGGTTTTGTGTGTGTGTTTTTATGGATGTGTGTTTTGGATGGTGGAGGTGTGTGTGTGTGTAGGTAGCCTTGGCAGTGGGTTTTGTGTGAATGGGGTGCGACTGTGTTAGCATGGTTTGCAGCTGTACATACTGTACATTCCGGTACTGTGTTTTTGTGCCGTCAAGTGCTGTTTTTGACTTCTCTTTGTTATAATCGTGGCTGTGACAATTGTTAGAGAAACATGTTAGGGACAGTATAAACATTTAACATCAGTGTAAATGTAGGTAAAAGAAGACGCAGGATAGTTAATGCTTTCATCAATCTGAAGCTGTTTGAATCATTTCATGGTGCATTCATGTATTTTATTAATTTTGAAAAATCTATGTTTGTTTAAAGTAACGTTTAAAGGTACAGTGTGTAGAATTTTGTGATATCTTGTGTTGAAATCACATGTTGCAGCTGAACACCCCTCACCTCACCCTCTCCTCCCAAACATGAAAAAGAACCTGTGGTAGCTTCAGTTGTCATAAAAACTCAAAAGGTGTTTAGTTTGTCCAGTCTGGACTCATGTAAAAAACATGGTGGCCTCCGTAGAGAGGACTCCCTCGATGTAAATATAAAGTATTTAAATATAAAGGGTCTTTTCTGAGGTAAAGAAAACTACTCACACTAATTCATATAACTTAGATGAAACGAACAAGTGAAAACATCATGAGGATTATTCTACATTAAATATCTGCCAATAGTTCCATTTCACCTAAATCTTACACACTGGGCCTTTAAAAAAGATTAAGATTGTTAGAACCTTGTCGTATTTAAGGTAATTTAGATAAGTATGATCAGTCCTGCAGCCCTGACCAGTGATTATCTATCGTGAATTGTTTATGAAAAAAAAGCTCTGTCAACAGAATGTTATTGTGTTATATAATTATGTGGCTATATAGAGGAATAGAGGAAAACACATATGAACATATGAAGTATGGTAGAAAACATTATATAAGAGACAATCTATGCCACAAAGTTTATTTTTACTTAAATTATGTATTTATTTTCTTATTTAACTGTCTGATGAGCCTGAATTCTGCTGGCCAGTGAGGGAGCATTATTTCAAAGAATATTTCAAAATGGTATTACAAAAAGATTGATTATTATTTTCATTTTGTATTTGGAACTATGAAGAGTTAAGCTTTTAATGTCTGAAATGTAGATTGTTATGTCTACAGGTGTTTGTATTGTGAATGAATTTTGAAAAAATACAGCAAGCGAGGTGTGAAGTATCGATCGTTGGCACATAAGGATGGTTCATCTCTGTGAACTCATCTGATTGGTGAGGTGAGGAGGATTTTTATGGGTTGCTTGCTTTGTTCTTCAACCCCTGAAGTAGTGCAACACTGTCCAAAGAAAAAATATACTCCCCTTCAAACTGTGGTCTGTTTGTTTCTTGAGTCTCTTCTTGTGTATTGTCATTGTTTGCAACAAGAGTGTGTGTGTGTGTGGAGGGGGGGTGAAATCTGTGACTCTGTGGTTTTGTGAGGTAATATTTCATCAGCCAGTCACTGTAAAGCTCATTAGTGCAACAACAGTATTAAACATTAGCTTAAATTTGACTTATTCACACGTATTGATTACCTGTATTAGATTATCCCTCTAATCTATTATCAATCAGATCTGTGTGATACATTATTGCATACAGTGGATGCAGTTCATTATTTTCTGAATAAATGTGGGCAGTGAACATGACAAAACATCCCATAGAAGGCAATAGCAGGTGCATCTTGCATCATGCTTTTGCCCTCTGAAAAGAAATTGTCCACCATGCAAATTCAAGCTGACTGTACCATTCTGAGGCAACACTGGTCAGGGATTGAGGTGCTTGGTTTACTGACATATACACCATGAGCCCAAGTATACAAACTGGTGAGAGAAGTCCAGCAGGATGATAATAAAAATGAGGCTGTAGCTATGAACAGTCCTATTTATATGAAAATTACAAAACTGAAGGTTAAAATTGACAGTATGCAACCTTTGATTTTTGACCTGTCCACAGTGTGTACGTGTTTGATATTAATGCCGCCTTTGTTCTTTATCTTGTATAGAGACTATAAAAAATCCCTAGAGCCTCTGTTGAACATCAAGTCCTTGTGCTTCATGATCTAACACTGGACTTTAAATGTAACCCCATAAATACAGATTAGAGACATTATA